ACATTACAAAGTCTGTATCTAAGAGAAAAGCCATTATCATGTGAATGCTGGTCAGTTTGATCAGTGTGAGAAAGTTCAAACATAAAATATGCCCTTCAAAAAATGCACATTTGAAGCAGTACTTATAGATGCCACATAGCATAGAGATTAAGTGTGGTTTAGTTGCAAATCCTGCCTCTGCCACCACCAGCAGCAGCTGGAATCCAGCACTTGGCCAATCAGGGACCTTGGTTTCAAGGAGAAAGAGAGATGGAGAGAGAGGTGGAAGGAAAGGGAGGTATGTGAAGTTGGAGTGTAGCTTTATCACTCCCCCAGGACTCTGTCATGGCCCCACATGCTGTATGCATTCATCTCACCTAGGCAGAGAAGTCCAAGTGCTCAGGCAGACACAGAGTGGGTCTGTTGCATGGTGTCAACACTGACCTTATGATGTGCACTTGGGTAGCAGATTCTGTTCCCAAGAGATCAGGGAATACAAATAGACAATAGTGCAGGTCCACAGACAGAAAGACAGGCTCCAACACCCCTCATGCATTGCTGCTTACTTCCAAAGCTCTGCTTTGGGTTGTGGGAGCCCTGTTTAGTTTAACCCATTGTGTGACTTTAGGAAAGTTATTTATCTTCTTTGAGCTTCCAATGGCTTACCCATTAAATGTAGATAATCGCACATCTCTCAGTGTTACTTAACAAATATCAGCCACTTTCCAAGTCTTCATAGTGGAGTCATAATGGGTCCATAATTTGTCCTTTTGTGAAAATGCACTTACAACCAGCCATTTTGCCCATAATTTCATATATTGATCTCAGTTTGAACATTTAGTTAATGGAAAAGACTTCAGACACAGCAGGAAGTTCTCCAAAGATATTTTCCAATGGGTGGTAGTTTTTAAATTGTCCCTGGGCCTTTTGGAATGCATGGCAGACAATTAGCCTGCCTTTTTGCCTGAGAAATCAGACTAATTATTGGTGAGGCTTGCCTAATGGGCTCTTTTGTGAACTCCATCCTTTAAATGAGAAATCTTTAACTTTTCGCAAAAACTCAACTCATTTGTGCTGCAGATTCCTAATATTTCTAAATAAATACTTGGCCTCTGGGCTTTTGTGTCAAATAACCCAAATCTGAGCAAACTGCTCTATCAGGGGGAAAAATTGTTTAGTATCAATCTACAGGAAAAAAAAACTTTTAGATGAAGTTTGGAATCAGCAGAAGCAAAACTGGGTGCAGCCTACTCTGGGACAAGTTTCAAGAATCTGGCCTTAAAGGGGGATTTACCCCATGCGAGCTGAAATGGCTGTTGAGCTGTTCAAAGACCAAACACTAGCACTGGCTTAGAGATCACATTCAGCAGGGAACAGGCTATTTACCCTGACACCAAGTTCATTGTCACTCACAGACATAAGCTTGGGTTCTCTGTCTAAGGCAAAGTAGACAAAGGTGAGGGAAGCCAGTTACCCATCCCACATCAACTGGGTAGGAGGCAAGAGTCTGTAGGAAAAAGAGGAATTTGAGGCATGGAACATCTTAGCAATGACAGGGTCATCCACCAACAGATCATTGCGAAGAGTTCAGATGAACAGATATGCACGTGAGTGCTGACGGGAGGAGAAGAATAGGTAGACTATGGCTTGGAAGAGTGGAGAGGCACCCCAAATGGATCCATAGTTGGGGTACAGCCCATACTGTTAGTCCAAGATACGTGCTCCAGCAAGAATCCCCAGGCATCTGGAAGATTCTGTCCAAGTTCTTTCCTATCAAGGACTTTGACAAATCTTAAAAGGGGGAGCTTGGCAGTTACTGGGTGACTGTGCATTGCTTTTACAACAATGGAATGGGCTTGAATTGTTTCCTAGCTGACGCTGAGCTCTTCATATTCTGTCACCAGCCTTACTACATTTCTTTCCAGAAGCTTTGAAAGGTATGACTGTTGGCTCCATAGAGCTCAGACTGTCCTGATTGTGGAGTGGAAGGGTGGAGATGCTGTTTTTGTTGTTGTTGTTGTTGTTGTTTTTTTTGCCTTAAGGTATTATTCAACTGAAATAGCTTTTCAATTAAAAAAATTAAAGAAATCAAAGATGAATAGGGATGACTTCAGGACATAAAGACAATAAAAATTGTAATGGGAATATTTGCCAGAAGGTAGGAGTTGAGTTTCTTCTCTTCCTGGTCTGGGACATCCTTTTGCATTTCCATTCTCCTTCTCCATGCTCAAATATGTACCTCCTTCACAGGCAACAAACTGAGGCAGGCCCTTCACCACATGTCAGACTACACTGGTCAGTCAAGATCCATGCCTAGGCACGGATCCTGTCTCTATGAACTTGGGTTTTCAAACTGTGGCTTGCATGAAGACCCACTGGGGACCTTGCCAACATGCATGCTCCTGAACTCCCTTCCTGCGTGAAGATCAAGAGTCAGGTGGGGAGCAGTCATTCTAGGCTAGGCAACTACAGTGCGCTGAAAACAAAGATACATGTGAAGGACAGTTTCTGGTTTTATCAACCCAACTCTAGCCAAGTCTTGGAGAACTAGCACCTACTCCTGACAAGAGTAATGAACATTACACTCTACTCCTGCAAACCAAAAAGTATTCATTGTCAGGCTCTGGACCCTTGAGGGTCCACCTGTTTCCATCTGCCCACTCCCTGGTGGCGGCCTCTGAGTTGAGGCTCCCTGCGACAGCTGCTGCCTGTGTTTAACAACCACAAGGGAGCGAATCCCATGGCCTCCTGTGCAGAGCCATCCCAGAATTTTATTGCCCTTCCGTTAAGAAGTTCTTCCTTACATTTAATCAATTCTCCTATTGCAAGACTCATCAACTCTTGCTCTATTCTCTGAGGTGGAAAAACAACCCATTAGTATGCAGTTTCTAACCCTTCACTGAGTCACAGAAAGTCGACGCCAAAAGAGATTGCAGATGTCATATCACGCTACACCTGTGCTTTCTGGTTCCTGCAAACCATCTGAGGGAAGTTGTCCGAGAGGTACTTGGCTAGCCGCTATTCTCCTGTGTTGCCGTAGTTTGGGGTTGGGGAGAGAAACATTAGCCTCCTGTGTTCCATAATACATATCTGAACTCCTTTATCATTCCTCCCAGAAAGATCTATTTTCCATTTTTGTAACAACTTTAGTTACTTTACCAAATAAAATTGTACAATACCTAGTTAATTCTAATTTCAGATGAATTCTCATACTCTTACTTTCAAAATAAATATTTTTTTAAAAAACTAGAAAAATAGAAGTAAAATAAACCTAAAAGAAGAAAGTTATAAATAGTGAAAACTGGGCCTGGTGTGGTAGCCTAGCAGCTAAAGTCCTCACCTTGATCACAGGTGGAGTTATCCTTGGCATTTCCATGGGACTCCTAACACACATTAAGTCTGCCTGGAAATACAGGTCAGGTGCATTTCTAAAATACTGAAGTCAGACAGTAGGTTTTAGGGTGGAACCAGGGCTTGAATTTCAACTTTTACCAGGCAAGCTTGTACCAGTTAGCTAGCCTAAAGCTAACTTTTTTCCCCTGCTACTTTATTTTAAAGTTTATGATACAATTCAATAGGCTCTGGGATTTCCCTTATCCCCTCCCTGAACTCTTCCCCACCCCCATTTCCCCCATATTATTACAATAGTAGAGTCCTTCATAAGCAGTCATAAGTCCATCACTCTGCTGTTTAAGTGTATCCTGACATTCTCATAGAGACAATGGCAGACAATCCAGCATCCTATTGTCAAGATATATCTAACAGTTTCATTGGGAGTCCATCTTTGATTTGGAATTAGAAATGTATACTGCATTGTATCCTCACATCTGGATATGACAGTCTCTATTACATAGTTACTATACATTCCCTTAAGTGAAAAGCCATAAAACAAAATCAACAACAGGAAGAAAAGAAATTTAAAACTTACAACATAAAGTTAAATAACATGCTACTAAATAACCAATGTGTCAATGAAGAAATGAAAAAGGAAACAAAAAACCTTGGAGGAAATGATGCTACTGTTTGATCTCTGAGTCATTAAAAATTTAATAAGAGAAAATAAACTATTTTAAGAAATGAAAATAAAAACAAAAATATCAAAACTCATGAGTTGCAGCAAAATAATACTGAAAGGGTTGTTGATCATATAATTTGCATTGATCATATAATTTGCATGAAGGTTGCCACCTAAGGCTAGTTTCTTCATCCATGAAATGGGAGGAGTAATTTCTGCCCAATATGGTTGCTATATAGATCAAACAATGGCTTTTACTCATAGAATACAACACCAAGCACCATGTATCCTCTCCCCTGGTGGGAACTTGAAAAACATCACCTCAATTCTCAGCTTGTTTCATCCCTACTATCTTAAGCAAAGATTTAGGCATAGACAAAGCACTCAAAACTATTTCTTGAATAAAATTTTGGTTAATATTTATGGGCACACTTTATATCAAGAGTCTAAGGAATTCTAGTTGGAGCTTCAGGTAAGGTTGAAAAGAGCAGGAGAGAAAAAATGAGAAGAGAGGAAGAATGGGAAGGTTGAGCTCAGGGAAACAGCAGTGATAAACAGGGCTTCCTGGACAACAGGTCATCTTGTCCATGACCACTACTAGAAGCACAACACACTGTCGGTGTCACCCCCGGGGCACCTGCTCAAAATGGACCAATACCCATAGATGTTTTGCTCTCCTCTATCTTGTCAGAAAGCTGTGTGTAGGGCATTCCTCTCTTTATTCGTCTATTTCACATTCACCACAGGACCAAGTACCTTCATGGATGCTTTCTCCATTACTGAACAGTGAGACTTTCTCTACTGCACTCACTCTGTGGCAGAGTTGGGAGGGACAAAAAAGCTACTGCACTGAGGATAGTTAAGAATTGAGGAGAGTGTACCAGTGTTAGAATAAATATATTTGTGTTGTGAAAACTCCCCAAACTATCAGATGAAATACAAGTGAGCTTAGAAAGCAGGGGCAGGGGCAGGAAACACATACGGATGTGTATGATGGGGAACCCACCTGCTCATGACCATGATACCTGGGTCTCATCTTGTTTATTTTCCTCTGCAAAATCAAATCAGGATCCCTCTTCAGCAGGTAGGAGAACAGACACAGGAGAACCCAAAGGACAATTTTCCTAACAGATTTGAAAGACCATTATTGTTTATATAATTTAATAGAGAAATAAAATTATATATAATACATTTTAGTTTTAGCCACATAGATAGATCATACCATAGATGATAACCACAGATTTTTATTTTTTATATGCTAGTAAAAAGCCAATGAGAAGGCAATTTCTTTGGAGAAATTATTCCTTTTAATAAGCAAGAAATTTTAGGATAAACTGCTTGACTACAGTATCCATTCCAGACAAGCAACCAAGCTATTTAAGTCCAAGTGATGGGATCTTCTCCAGGTCATCCTTCCTCTCCAGGTCATCCTTCCTTTAGAAAAACTAAAGCAAAGGGTAATGATCTGAAGAAACAGAAATGTCATTGGGAAAAAAAAGCTGAAAAAACACAATGTCATATAAGAAAAGAGAATCTCTGAGATAAAATTACATAATTTGGGGGTAGGCATTTGGTGCAGCTGGTTAAGCTACTGCTTGAGATGTCCACATGCCATATCAGATGGCTGGGCTCCAGTCCCAGCTCCACTTCCAATCCAGCTTCCTGCAAACACACACAATGGAAGACAGCAGACGATGGCTCAAGTGCTTGGGTCTCCCACTTAGACTCCTGGATTTGGCCTGACTCAGCCCTGACTGAGTGAACATTTGGGAGTGAGCCAGCAATAAAAGATTCTCTCTCTTTCTCTTATGTTTAATTTGCCAAATCAGGATAGGGCAAGCTTTTCTTCAGAGTAGGACACAGGCAGACAGAACACCCACCACCAACAACTTTACCAACTTTGAGACAGTGGAAAAGAGAACAGGATGACTCTTTCACCAGCTTTTTAAAGAGCCACAAGGAATTAATGTCACATCCAGGCATGTGACCCTGTCCAAAGCAAGTAATGTGGCTGTATAATTTCAAAGGAGTAGGGAATTATAATCCTAATATAAACCTAAGGATTTGTGGACAGTGCTAATGGCTACTGGATGATTTTCCAGATGCCTATGACATTCATCACATCATGCAGGAATTATAGCACCACAAAAAGGATAGGTACAATATTTTTATAGAACATAGTTAATGACTACTCTTATGAAAGATGCTACAATTGTTTTTGTTAATTTCTGTGTATGCCTAATTTGCAAGGTAAATTTGGTCAAAAGTATGTTTATATAGGGATTGGTACTAACTGTGACATTAGGCATCTATTGAGGTCTTCAAATGTTTCTTCCCATGATCAAGAGGGGACAGTTACTATCCATGGGCAACCTTGGCTCCAGTATACTCCCCTCCTCCATTCCTCCCCATGCTAAATTTTGAAGCAAAGATCAGCTATTATGTCACTTCCACATGTGTCTCACTGGAAAAACACTCCTAAAAAAATCTAGATGAGATTGATTTAGCTTCTTCTCTTGTGAATGGCATATATTGGTTTCCTGTTTAATCTAGTCTGACAGCCTTCATTTTTTAGCCAGGAATTCAGATCAGTTACAATTCAACACAATTGAAACAGCCTGAGATCTTCAGCCTTCAGCTTGTTGTTGTTTCTCTTTACCAGCTACATTTCCTTTATATTCCTTTGTTACTTTAGATTGCTTTTTATTATTCAAATGCACACCCCCACATTAATTTGGAAGTTTTATCCTCTCCCCACTCTATTTTTTTTTTTTTTACTTACTCTGGAAATTGACTTCCATGTTATATTTTACTATTAATCTTTTTAATATAATATATATTAAGTGCTCCACATATTGGGTGAAATAAAAAGCAAGGGTTAATACTCTGGTCTTTAAGAACATTTCAAAGCCAACATCTTTTTTTTTTTGAAGAATCTAGGTTTCCCAAGTTCAAACCACTTTTTTTTTTTAATATAGATATGCTTTTTTTTTTTAAACAATCTTTACAAGGTTAATTAGGGCACAGAGGTTCAAGGGCTACAGGAAAGTGGGTAAGAGTATTTTTCCACATTCTCTCTCTCTTTTTTTTTTTCCTGTATCTGGGATAAAGGGGGAGGTAAAGGGAGAAGCCCCACCCATCCCAGGTCCCTGATGTGGGGCATGCTCTGAGAGTCTTGCTCAAGTGGTTTTGATAGTTCAACAGGTATGAATTGCTGCCAAGCACGATGAAGCCATTGCAGAATCCACTGATTGACACAGTCCATCTTAGAGTCTCCGTTTGCCCAATTTTTCACTGCCTTTTAAAATAGAACAGATAAGACTATTGCCTTGCTGTCTTTATTATTAAAAGACTAACTATATTTTTATAACATCATTTCCTTACCCATGTTGATTTTTGGTTTGAGTTCATCATTTTAGAGGACCAGTTCATTGATCTTCACAAGCATCCTTCTGCACTTTATGCCTAGCCTCACAACCACCTGGAAGTAAGCATGAAGAAACAGATTTGAGAGGCTTGACTTTGCTAGCATGTACCCAGTGGTGGATTAGATTGAAATGCAGAACTGCTTGTTTCCAATGCTTACATTTTTTCCTACCATATCACCTGATAGGATTTGTCAAAGTATAAGTTACAGAAATTGTAATATGCATTAGCACTTTAAGAAGATGTGCTTGCACTAACTGTTTTTAGATGTCACATGACAAAATCTATCCTTACTAAATCTACCAGTATTTTTTCATTACCATTAAGTATTATTTCAGTAGTTCATAGAAAGTGGAATTAAATAGTAAGCTTATTTTGAAGCAATTATGAAATGCAAATGAGCTCTTCACATCATTTGTTTTTAAAAATTCCTTTTCTCTCAAAATATGTAACTCCTTATTCCTGAAACTTTTTGAAATGCTCTCATAGTCACAAGATTGTACAATCATTACTGCTACTTAATTCCAGAAAAATCTTTTATTTCCCTCAGTTATACCCCATGCCTTCCTCCCCCATTTTCCTGGCAACCACCAACCTGTCTCCTATCTGCATGGACTTGCCCATCCTTGATGTGTCATGTAAATAGCCTTTCTGTGTAAATTTTGTGTCTGACTTACCTTAGTTAGCATCATGTTTGCAAGATTCATCCACAACCCTTTTATATTTGAATAATCTTTTGATATTTGTTCATCCATTGATACTTGTTTTTACTACTATGAATAATGCTGCAGAAAATATTTATGAGCAAGCTTTTATGTGAACATGTTTTGATTTTAGGTAGATAGCTAGGAGTAGAATTTCTGGATCATGTAGTAAGTGTTTTAACTTTTTGAGGAACTACTGCACACAGTAAATGCACCATTTTACACTCCTACCAGCAATGCACGCTGGTCCAGCCATCCCTAGATTCTCTTCACATCATAATGGCATGTCCCAAATCCTCCTCAACATTTATCCTTTTTTATTATTGAGGTATCCTGGTAGTTGTGAAGTGGTATCACTTGTATGTCCCTAATGTTTAATGATGTTGAACACCTTTTGCTTGTCATTTGTCCTCTTTTGAAAAAACCTGTTCAAGTCTTTTACCCATTTTACATTTGGGCTTTGTGTTTACAGCTCTTAATAAATTCTGGATACATGATTTGCTAATGTGTTCTTCCATGCTGCGGCTGTCTTCTCACTTGGATAGCATTCTTTGAAGTACCAACACTTTACAAGTTGATAAAGCTCAATTTATCTGTTGTTGTTGTTGAGTTGGGGGCTGCTGCATCATAGTTGTAGTTAAGAACCACTTGTGATGCTGGCATCCGACAGTGGAGCACGTGTGTGTCCCAGCTGCTCTGCTTCCCACCCAACCTCCTGCTAATGAGTCCAGGAATGTAGCAGATAATATTAAAATGTTTATTTATCTGTATTCATATCTTTTACCATGTTTTTTTGTTGTTGTTGCTGAAATTGTCTTTCATCAGGACTTTCTTTTGTTAAAGAAGTCTTTGGATTTTCCTTTGTGAGAACCTGTAACTGTTAAATTCTGTTTTTAAATGTCTCTACTCTTCAAGAATTGTGTACAGGATCTCTGGTGAAATGTTATTTTTATTTCAACACTAAAGATATTTTCCTGCTGTCTCCTTGTTCTTGTTCCCAGTGTTACTATTGAGAAATCAGGTATCTTTAAGGTAATACACACTTTATTTCCTGAGCAGCTTTCTGCAGTTAACACTATGGTATGTCCAGGTACTGAGACAGTCTATTTATCCTTTTTGGGATCTATTGAATTTCTTACATTTGTAACTCAGTATCTTCCATCAGTTCAGGAAAATTATAATCATTTTTCCAATATTGTCTCTCCCACATCCTGTGTTCCCTGACTCTTCATTTGTGTGACACTTTGTGTGCTTTATCTATTATTTTCACTTTGTAGTGTTTGTACTGAATTCAACATAAATCTTCTTACAACCTGGTTTGCTAATTGTTTCTTAACCATATCATTAATAGCTCTAATGGGTTCTTAATGTTGGTGATTTATTTCGGTACTAGAATTTCTCAGTGGTTACTTCTCAAATTTAAAAACTCAAGCGTATGTGTCGAAGAACTTTAATATCTTAAGTCCATAGATCTGTTTGTATTATTTTTCTGTTGACTCTGGTTTATGTGTACTGTCTCATCACATAGCTTCTAGAAGCAATTTCAGAAGTAGGATGATGTCACTACTGTCCAGAGAAAATATTTAAAACTAGTTTTCCATCTTTGCTACTGGAAGGGCACCATATCCTCACAATTACTAGATTATACTTTTGAGGATTTTTTAAAAATACAGTGAAGCTGGCATTTCACATCGACCTTTATGCTTCCATTAGCAGTTCCTGCTAATTCCCTTAAAAGGGCACTGAAAGATGAGATGTCCCAAGACTTTAGACCCCTGCCTCGCATGTGGGAGGCCCAGAAGAGGTTTCTGGTTCCTGGTCTCAATTTGGCTATTGCAGGCAGTCCATTTAAGAGAACAAACTAATAAAAAGAAAATCTTTCTCTACTTTTCAAATAAAAAGTTTAATATTTTCTAAAAGCCAAAATTGACTTTTTATAAAAGACATCAACACTGGTTTAAATGTATTAGCTAAAACAATAGACCTTATTTGAATTTTGTGATTTTTCTGGCTAATACCCATTTTGTGTGTGTATGACAATCTTGTCCAAGAGCCCACATTGTATTTAGTTATTTCTTTCATTTCACTTTCACCTTAACACCTTCCTAGAGCACTGGTTATTTCATAGACTGTCCTTCTGCTGGATTTGTCTGGTGTTTTCACAAGATTGGGATGGAGTTAAAATGTCTTACGATTACAAAAGGGAAATGTACACTTCTCAGAACATTAACTTCGGGGGCTCAGGAAGCGCAGACGCTTTATCATTGGTGATGTTAACCTTGGTGTCACTAGTCTCCTCTGCTATAAGGTTACTATCTTGTTCTTACCTCAGGGACATCTTTAATCTGTCTACTCATTTGTCACTTTTCTTCCGTAACTTGGACCCAATAATGCTCCCCCATCCTAATCCTGGCATGTTTGGCAAAAGTGATACGCCACTTCTTAATTTAGTTTGTAAGAAACAGACACTAGAACTTTGACCATGCTTTGTGTGTGTTCTCCCTCTCTGCCCCTATCCCTCATATACTCTCCTCCCCCAGCCCTTGGATCACCTGTTTCAAAGAACATCAGCCATCGTATTGCAAGTAGCCCTAGGTGGAGGCCCACTTGGTAAGGAACTAGTCTTTGGTCAGTAAAGTCTACAGACTTGGGTTGGTATGAGAAGCAGATCCTCCAGCCTGGACAAAGCCCTGAGGACTACGATCCTGGGTGCAAGCTTCTCTGAAGTCTTTTTAAGAGATCCTGGGCCAAAACCACTTAATTAAAAGATGCTGCTGAATTCCTGATCCACAGAAAGTGAGATGAAATGCACATTGCTTTATGAGCATTGTTAGGGCAAACTGTGACAACCACAGGTAAGTAATACAGCCTGAATCACCTCATCTATTACAAGTCTGAGCTCCTGTAATCACTAGTTATTGCCTCTGTTGCACAGATGGGAAAATGTGGCAAATATTGAAATAGTCGACAAAAAAGTAGACAAGATCTTTCCTTCCTCCAAAGCTAAAATACCACCCCAAGATTTTTGCAGCTAAGGTTAGTGGTTCCCTAACTTGCTTGACTTATGAGATGTACACAAAGATGAACTAAGGGATTCTCTTGATGAGCAAAGGGTACATTCTTAGGAAGAGGCTTTTGACCATTTGGCCCAGAAAATAAGATTAACTACCATTTGGCTTGCATCCGCATGGCAGCTCTGGGTTTAGCAGCATCTCAGAGCCAGGAGGACGAACGCCCAGCAATGTGAAAATAAGAAAACAGGCAGAGCCTAGTTCTGTAATGATCCCTTGAGCAGCTGCCCTTTTCAGGTATGCCCAACTGCACAGCTGCTGCCTGGAAGTAATGCACACCTTACTTTCACAAGTCACTGCAGGAAGAGGGTACTGCCTGAAACAAGGCACATTCCTAACACACTTTACAAAGAGGTTATTCAAAACTAGGACTTCTGATTTCACACTTGAGACAATACCAAATGAATAAACACAGCAACTAATACAAGTTGAGCGTTAAAACATTCATCTCCATACTTCTTCTCTCACCCTGATAAAAGTATGACTACATGGCATTTGGGAGTCATGTTGGAATCCTTATCCCTTGGAAGCCTCCACATACTCCCTACTTCTGGTTTAGAGGGTCTTTCTTTATATACCATCTTCGACTCTGTCTCTCGTCATCCCTTGATAAACACATCATTTGGAGCAGTGATCACATAAGAAAACTATTTGAGAGAAGGGGTTACCTGACATTTTCCTTTATATTTTTAGTATTTATCATAATGCTTGCTACAGAGGAAGATCTTGATAAATTTATCAAATACTTAGTAAATAATTTAAATGCTTTGATACATTTCTTCTTGAACCATCCCCATTAAATCTGTTTCTTGCCTTGTGGCTTCTGATTCAATATCCCTCAATGTATTCCACAAGTACAACATAGCTTCTAGTCATTTCCACCCACAGTCCTAACTACTTTTTCATCTTACATTGTGTGCTTACATACTGCCCCCAACTCTTTAATGCCCAAACCATGAAATTATTCTAGCAGTTTAATTTACATCCTTCAGGTCCTGGTCTGCAAATCCCAGGAATTCCATAATGTTACAGAACCTTTTTAATCAGCCCCCTTCAACTGTTAGGGCTTCTAGTCCTACTGAGATCCCCATGGGGCTTCTGTGATGCATTTTATTTCTGGCCTAATCTCTAATATTTTGCCACTGACCTCAAACCCCCAGATATAATATGTCTGCTTCCTGTCAACATGTGATCCTGATCCACTGTCACCAACACAAGACACAATCGAACACATTTTCTTCTTTAGCTCCAGACTTTCTTT